GATAAAAAAGAAGGTAAATTCTGAGTTATTCTTTCAATTAAAGAAGCTAACACTTTGAAACACTAATCATGGATTCATCATCATCGTCTGCTGCAAATACTGTTAATATGGCTCGATCAATTATACTCAATACTTATTTTGTCATACTTATTCTGGGAGTAATTGGTAATTGTCTCAATATTCTGGTTTTTACTCGATTGAAAATCTTTCGAGGAAATCGATGGGCTTTCTATTTAACATTTGCGGCTATAGTTGACATTGGCTATATTATTGTTCTTTTTGCCAGTAATTTTTTACAAACCATCAATACAAAAGATCCTCAAACATATACACTTGTCTGGTGTAGAATTCGATCAATACTGTTTCAGACATTAACACTTACATCATTTTTTACAATATGTTTTGCTGCATGTGATCAATTTTTTTCAACAAGTTATCGATTAAATATGAGACAAATTTGTACATTTCGAATGGCTCAATGTTTCACATTTGGAAACATTTGTATTTGGTTTTTACACAGTATTATATACGGTGTTTATCTGCAAATTCAAGGTTCACTTGGATGTATCATTACGAATCCAATAATGAGTTCCTATTCATCATCATTTTTCTATTCAGTTCTATATGGTCCATTACCACTTGTTATTGCAGTATTTTTTAGTTTATTGGCTTTTAGAAATGTTCGACGTATTGTTCGACGACAAGTACCAATTGAACGTCGTCAACTTGATCAACAAATGACGGCTATGATTTTAATACGTGTGTGCTTTTTTGTGGTATTTGCATTGCCTTATTCGATCTATAAAATCTATACTATAATTACTCCTATTCCATCAGCAACTCCTTTTCAAAGTGCAATCAAACAATTACTTCAAGTATTATTTACTTTGTGGACTGGAATTAACTTTACGGTATAGTTTTATTTTAATTGAATTCATATTAAATATTGTTATGTATTTATTATAGTGCGCGTTTTATATTTTTGTGGCTTCATCACCTGCATATCGTCGTCAACTAAGACATCTCTTAGTGAAACGGTATTGGCGACGATGGCGTGCTACTAATAAAAATCGAATCACTCCTGAAAACAGAGCACCAACTGCTTCTGAGATTGAATTTGAATAGACTATATTTCAATATTATTTGACTTAATTTTTCTTTCTTTTCTATTTGTATATTTATTACCTTAATCAAATATAATCTGAATGTTATCCTCTTTTATTAAATTAAATAGATCAAATTTTCATAAGCCTTGAGATAGAAAAATAACGAATGTAAGTGTAGCAATCAGAAACATTTCCATGTTTTCCAGGATTTAATTCTTCATTTTGCCATAAATCCGAGTCCTGTCAAAAACAGATTGACGCACTTTTTTTGATAGAAACATTCCCTTGAATAATTACTCTTAATTTTTTTAATCGAATTGCAAAGCTGTCAGTTTCTATTCATTTCCATCTCTATTTTAGAAGTTTAATTAAGGTCGTGTTTTTGAAGCTTCTGGCTGTAATATTTATATTCGTCGTTTGTTTGCTAAAGACCAATAAAAATTATATTAAAATAGACTAATATACAGTATTTTCTATGAGCTATATGATCATGCTAGAATTGTTAAAAATAAATGGATTCACCGAGAGAAGTATAAAAATTTATGTAGCAAAGTTTCTTGACAATCAATTTTCTTCATAAAGTAGTTTACTGCTAGTAGCAGAAATATATTGACGATTGTCATAATCATATCTATTAGATTTTTGGCGGATCACAAAACTATCGGTGGGATAAAATCACAATAAATTGTCTTATTGTGACGGATGCATATACTGAACTAGGGTGTGAGTGTGGGTATGGATACTGTATTCACCAGGTACCCACACCCAACTATCCTCAAGTCAATTCTATTTCTTTTATCTTGGCATGATCATAATGAGTTATTCATTATAAATCATAACAAGAAACATTTTTCCATAACGCAGTAATCTAAAAGGACACCGACAGATCATTAATTCTAAAATAATTACTAAATGAAAAAGAGATTTCTTTATCTAGGTCATGCAGGTAGATATGAAATTGCAGAATCCAATCTCAGTTTTTTTTCGATATTTCTTTGAAACATTTGCTCGTCTATATTGTTTATCTGATTCTGTAAGAACGGTAGTAAATTAATTATTTCAAAAATGTATTAATCATACTTCAGACAATTTTTTGTTTTCCTATTATTTATAAGTGCTAGTCAAGGAACCTTGATTTTAAATTATTAACTAACATTTCGAGATATGTTTTGTTTTGTATTTCTTTTATTTCAAATTCAAAGGAATTAGTCGTCTATCCTAGATAGGAAATTGCAATCTGAAAATCTCCTTTATCTAAACTAACAAACCATAGACAATTATTTTCAAATATGAAGTATAATTGAGAAAACTTCTTTCTTTGCAGTTGTTTGTTGAATTCATTTGGGTTACTTTGAAACTAATTCTTAAACAGCAATCATCATAACCTATTCTATTATGTCTAATAGCACAACAACAGATACTGAACAGACCGAATCTCTGTTTGCTGCTTATTATCCATTATCGTTGATTATTGTTGGCACCTCCTTAAATCTATTCACATTAATCATCCTTTGTCGACCCACATTTAGAGATACAAAAAAACAACCAATTATTTATTATATGCGTACAATAGCTATTTTTGATATTCTCATGTTATATGGATGGAATTTAGATCATTATCTTTCTATTGTACATGGATTTGCACTTATAACATACTCAATACCAACATGTAAAATTTTTGGATTCTTGAATTATTTTGCTCCACAATCATCAGCTTGGCTTCGTGTTTTCATTTGTTTTGATCGTTATTTAATAACAAGTCGATTACATCGTACATGGTTTAGTCGTCAAAAAAGTGTTCTCATTATCATTACTTGCATTATTATAGTTTTTACTCTATTTAATGGTCACTTTTTTATATTTGCATGCTATTATTCATCGGATGGTACAATTAATCCTAATGCTAAATTATATGGAATATATCCACTATGGGATAATATTAATTTAGGTGTATACAATTGTGTACCATTCATATTGATGGTCACATTCAATAGTGGTGTTATCTATCATTTGATACAACGTCGTCGAGTGCAATTAATCCAAAATTCAACTATTCAACATCGTGCCATATCAATTACATTAATAATTACAACATTTCTCTTTTTAATTATGACAACACCAGCAACAATAGACGCTGCATTTTTTACCACTTCAACAACTGGTATTTTAGAAGAAGTATTAGATACAGCTCTTTATACTTATCATATAACATCATTTCCAATTTATTTTATTACATTCAAAGACTTTCGACGAGAATGTATTATGTTGATGACTTACAGGATCAACAACCCTCAGAAAATTGTACCAACTCAAATTGTTAATATTCCAATGAATACACCAAATTAATAATGGATCAAAAATATTCTGATTATAAGACATTTATACAACTAATTCGCGCAGTAACTGAACGAAGAAATTAAATTATTTAAATGATTGTGCAAAGCGTAAAATTGTATATTGAAATAAAATTAAAAAAAAATACTGTATAGAGGGATTTTTCCTCATTACTGAAATGATAACAACATCGAAGACTCTAGAATTCTATTTTTTCGAATATAATTAATTTTTTGACACAAACGTAAACTTTATCAACTGGAATTGTGTTGTTTTTTTTTTAATAAGGAAATGTTTATTGATGAAGAATAATTTATTTTACATTGAAAACAAATAAATAAACATAAAAAATTCGAATAGCTGAATAGAAGGTATTAATGCGAAATTTTATAAAACAATATTAGAAAGAAAGTAAAGACATCATCCGATTTGATGCTAATGTTCCTGATATAACCAT